CCTCTCTGCTATTTCTAAGGCCTCGTTGGACAGCCATTTTGCTTTCTTGCATTTCCTTTTCTTTGGGATGGTTTTTGCTGCTGCCTCCTGTACAATGTTACATGCCTCTATCCAAAGTTCTTCAGGTACTCTGTCCACCAAATCGAATTCCTTAAATCTGTTCTTCACTTCCACTGTGTATTCATAAGGGATTTGGTTTAGATTATACCTGACTAGCCCAGTGGTTTTTCCTACTCTCTTCAGTTTAAGCTTGAATTTTGCTATGAGAAGCTGATGATCAGAGCCACAATCAGCTCCAGGTCTTGTTTTTGCTGACTGTATACAACTTCTCCATCTTTGGCTGCAGAGAATATAATCAATCTGATTTTAGTATTGCCCATCTGGTTATTTCCATGTGTAGAGTCACCTCTTGTGTTGTTGGAAAAGTTTGTTTGTGATGACCAGCTTGTTCTCTTGACAAAACTCTATTAGCCTTTGCCCTGCTTCGTTTTGAACTCCAAGGCCAACCTTCCCTGTTCCTTTTATCTCAACTCCCTGCTTTAGCATTCCAGTCCCCTATAATGATGAGAACATCTTTCTTTGGTGTCAGTTCTAGAAGGTGTTGTAAGTCTTCATAAATTTGGTCAGTTTCAGTCTCCTCAGCCTTGGTGGTTGGTGCATAAACTTGGATTACTGTGATGTTGAAAGGTCTGCCTTGGGTTCATATTGAAATCTTTCTATCATCTTTGAGATTATATCCCTTTACAGCTTTCCCCCCTCTTTCGTTGACTATGAGGGCTACTCCATTCCTTTTAAAGGATTCTTGCCTGCTTAGAGCTTTTAAATGTTTTTAAGATTGTTTTAAAAGTTGTTTTTAATATTGGTTTTAATATTGTGTTTAATTTTTTAAATACACTTTCTGTGGTATTTTAGAACTGTTGATTATTATATTGATTAAATTGTTGTGAGTTGCCTTGGGTACCCTATGGGGAGCAATGCGGTATATAAATATATACATAAATAAATAAATACTCTAATTTTTAGTGGCTTCTAACTAGTTTTAGATTAGCGCTTTTTTTTTCAAAATAATAACTTATTGAATTGTGTGTTTTGATATTATAACATTGTGCTTTTAAAGCTATGACTATTTTTAAAATCCATGCTTTGAACTGCCTTCTGTCCTGCACTGGGAGGAATATGAAATATATATAAAATAAACAAATAGCTTTAAAATCCAATATTATAGCTGCTGGTTCTCAAGTGTTTTTCAAGTAGTTGTCAAAATGTTTAAAATGGAGCATGTAGGGAGCAAAGGCCACTTCAGATAATATTCTCATCACTGGGTTTGGGTAGTATCTCTACAGGAATGTCTAAAGTTCTCATGCCACCCTCCTGCCATTTCTTTAACACTCTGGTCATTATTCTGTAGAGCTTGCGCAGAGCAGGATGTCCCACTCATTTAGTAACGCTGGATCATGCCACTTTTGCAAGTATTCCTATTACACAAGTTGTTATTTCCATCAAGAAAACTAGTCCTCTGCTTGCACAACAGCAACATTTTGGGCAAACAACATAATCTTGCATTGGCGTGCTAAGACTACCTACTCACCAGACACTTTACATTTACCAAGCCTAACTGAGTTCATTATTTTATTATTTATTTTATTTAAAATATTTTGACCCCATCTTTCTCCTTCAACAGCACCCAAGGCAGCTGACATCATTAAAAGTTGTTGTGCGTGGTCACTTCAGTGGGTATCTGCACCCTGTCCTATGGACAGCTCCTAGAAAAAGACACTGCACAGCTATTCTTTTATTGTGGGAAGACAAAAAAAAAGATGAAGAAACAGTGGGGGAAATGTGAGACAGTTAAAAACAAAAAACATTGGTACCTGGATCATCACCACCGCCTTCATAAACGTGTGTGAGTAACTGGCTCATCTGGATGTACCCTTTGCCTTTTTCTGAGTGTTCCTTGCCTTCTCCAAAGAGCTACAGTACTTACGTTTCAGAACTGAATATTGTTTGAAGCACAGTGTTACTAGTCTCAAACATCTCTTTGACTATAGGTGACAATGGAACAAAAAAGTATGTGAACATTCTACTTTCAAATGTTCATACTTTTGAAGCACCAAAGGAGCACAGTGGACTCCAGCATCTGGTGTGGGGTATTTTCAGTAAAACTCATCTGAGGGGAAAACCTGTGGGACTTGTGAAGCAAAATAACTGGCCAGCCTTAGGTCCTCTGCACCTTAGCCTGAATACTGTACAGAGCACCATTTTGTAGTCCCAATTCGGGCAGCAAACTGTTTTAGGACTCTCCCGCACGTGTTGGCCCTTTCACCCCTCCCGAAATGCCAAACCACCTCCCCTCAGCAAGGGAATTCTCCCTGGGTGCTTCCCGGCTGCTATGCCCAAGCCTCACAAGACCTCTTTTTCTTCCGAGCGTAATCAGCTCCGTGTGCGTGTGATGGTGTCTGCCAGCGTGTGTGAGCCTGAGCGACTCTGTCTGCGGCAGCCTTCAGGGGAGCTTGATC